TAAGGTAGGTGTACAGGCGGCGGAAAAGTAGTAAAAAACTGCTGACGTGAAGCTGGAATAAAGTTTGCCGCCGGCCTGGCGGCAACATTGACGAGATTTGGCCAAGAACTGGCTGATTAGCTGGTAACAAAATGCTGGTGATATGCAAGTGCTCCTCCCAACCCCCCAGGAAAACGCGCGACCGACCCGACCGACCCGGCTATCCTAGTCCGAGGGAGGGACGGCGGTGATGACGTTGCCGAGGTGTGGTCGAAGACTTTACCACACGACCGGTTATCCTCTCCCAACCACACCACCACACCCCTCCTGGACCCCGTCCCCTTCAGGTCCCTACCTTCCTACCTACCTACCCTTCTCCTCCCCATAGAAGCCAAGGCATTCACTTTCTCTCCAGTTCCCTTTTCCCCACCCCCCCTCCCCACATCATAAAAACACACCCCGCCCCGCCCCGCCCCGCCCCCACTCCAACCCCACTTTCCATCCCCCCGTCTATTTTACTGATCCCCAATCGGCGGTGTTGCCTCCCCACCCACCGCCCCCGCGTTGGACGTAGTACCCCGGTCCATGCTCACTGTTCTTTGCCCCTCCCACTCGAGCTTAACGTCCAATTTTGCGGTCCTGCTTATCCCTGATGCAGACTTTGTCTTCTCCCGGGAACATCTGTCTAATCGTCCGTACTCCGTCGTACCCCCACTACCCCCCGCCATGCCCCGGGCCCCCCCGGGGGGGACAGCCAGCCAGCCAGCCCACCTTCAGCTCTGAGAGCTCCAAGTGGTACCGCTCTCGCAGACCATTGAGCTCGCCGTACAACTTGGAGATGGTTTCGGAGCGGGCTGCCGCTTGAGCCTCCGCCGCCGCGGCACGCTCCCCGGTCGCACGAGCGATAGCCTCCAGCCGTTCCACCTCCTCCTGCTCTCCCACATCGGCGGGAACCCCCCCCCGAAAACCAAAAGGGGAGGAGTAAAACACACAGCAGACACACCGCACCGCATTGTAAAGCGGATGCGAAACGAAACAAGTTTGTTGTTCCATTCCTCCATCCCCCTTCCAGCCTTCAGCGCCCAATCCATCCCTTTTGCCGGCCCCTTGGGACCTCTTCAATACATACATACATGCACACGCACATACATACACACAGACGGACAGACGTGCACACACCTGCAGCCGGTCAGCGTTCCTTTTATGGTGAAGTCGCTCCTGGCTGGCCTCAGCAACCTGAAGCACGGAAGGGCGTCAAGGGGTGAGAAAGGCGCTGCGGAGCACCAGGGTCAGGAAGCCGCAGCCGTTCCGCGAGGGGAGAGTTGGGGCTTTTGGGGGCCCTGGGGGTCCTCGGACCACATCGCTCTTCACACACCCTCCCATTCCATTCCGCTTTACGACCCGGCACAATTGTGTGTGGCGCAAATCGCTGTAAATATATAATATAGCGATTGCGACACTCAACAGAACCACGACTTTTACTTGTTAATTGCACAAACAGACGACATTATATACTCCATCTTTCATGCGGTGGGAAGCACTATCCGTCCGTATCTCAGTGTTCCATGTGTTCGACGACATGTTAGGAGAGGCTGGCGGGTCACATTCCACGTAAGGTGCCCTTGTGAACCACATGGAATGCCTCCCGGCAGCGGCAAGGCCGCGACCTCCGTTGGTCGGAGACCTCATTTCCCGCCAGACTCTACAACTCCTTGGAGCCCTCCGCAGCGCAGCCCCTCCTCCCCAAAGTACGTCGAAGCTGGGACACGCCTTCTGCATCTACCGGTAACCAGCTGGCCCCACCTCCCTACTCAGCCGCCTTCACTTCCCACGCCAGCCGCCTCACCTCTTTACCACCACCACCACCACCACCACCATCACCGCCGGTGCCCGCATCGACAGTTGATGCGCCTTTTTTTACCTACCACCCATAACTTAGGTGGTGCTCAACTGGACCTCTGCCGCTCCTTTGCCCCTGAACAACCCACCTCTCTGTCCCGCTGCGCCAGCGCCTCCAGGAGGGACGTCTGCTGCGCCACAGCCGCCTGGTACTGCTCACGCAGCGAGTCGGTCTCTAACTTAGACACCCGGGCGTCGTCCTGCAACACAGCACCACCACCACCACCAGCACAGCAATCATCAGCCAACCATGCAACCAACCCGACAGCCGCGGCCAAAAGTCGCCGGTAAGCATGAACCCCTGCTCCCTGTTCCACCCCCCGAAGCTCCTCAGCCAGAGTAAGAACCGCACCGCAGCATGGGCTATAGATATATGATGGGAGGTGGGGAGTCAAGACCAACGGTCAAATGCCAACGGTCAACGTCCTGCCACGTCATGTCTGTGAAAACAGGACTGAGGAGTATGTATGGGCCCCCCTCTCTCCCCCCTCCCTGGAGTGCCGTCCCACCTGGCGGCGTTTGACCTCTTCCTGGTGCATGAGGCCGGCAGCTCGGGCTTGCTCGGAATGGGCCCTGCGGCGGTGGCGGCGGCGCCGCAATGGTTAGTTTAAATAACAGTTGGATATCGGTCGGGATGTGGCGGCGGAGGCGGGGCCTAATAGAATGCGTGTCCCACCGCGTTGGAAGTCCAGTTGTGCGGTTCTCCCATGTGGGTCAGGAGTGGATCTCTCACCGCCACCGCCACCACCACCATCACCACAACTACCACCATTACCACCACCACCATCACCACAACTATCACCACCATAGCCAGGGGGCACCACTCCAACCAGCACCGCCTCTTTTGACGTCCGGCGGCTTTCCCCAAAACCTTGCCCACGGCTGCTTTTGCCGCGATATCGCATGTGAGAGGAGGAGAGGGCCTTTCCTACCTGGAGGATCCCTCGGCGGCCTCCAGCGCGCGGAAGAGCTCATCGTTTTGTAGGCGCAGCTGGTCGATGTAGATCTGCGCCTGACGGAAGTCGCTGGTGGCTTTAGACAGCGCCTGGGCGGTCTCGTCAAGCCTGCGGCGGCGTCGCGCGGGTCCCCCCGTACAGGAGAGCCCAGGAGGTGTGAAGTGGTCTTAATCTAGGTCCAGGCGTCTCAATGCCGGGGCGGGGGGTTTCTCAGGTTCAGCTTCTTGGAAGGAGGCGCTTGTCATCCGGGAGGAAATTAGAGGGTGGAGATGTGAGATAGCGTGAGATTTTGGTGTAATCGTTGTTTTGGTGCTAGGGTCCGCGATTCCGGTGTCAGGCTCCTTCCCCCATCCCGCGCGTCCATCGGCACCTTTCTTCCGTCCGCTTTAGCTGTTGCTGCAATCTGCCGGTAGCCTCCTCTTCCTGGGCGACTTCTTCAAGTATTCCCTCCAGTTCACGTCGGAAGTTGGCCTGCGAGCAGTTACGAGGCGTTCTTGCCAGTCCGGTATTCGGGCTGACGAGCACCTGTCGCTGACTGTCAACGGACCTTCAGAGCCGCCTGGCGCCATTTGAAAAAGGCTGCGGCTGCAGATAATAAGTCCCCCTGGTCTGTATTCCCAGCGACGTCCCGCAGCGACTGGCGCACTAGGGTGGCGGGCGAGGCCATTCCGACTGACTTTAACAACGAGCCAGCTCCTTATGGGAGGTTTCATTTAATGTGGTTCATATGCTGCATCATTCTTCTATTTTAGTGTAATGCGTGCATATTACAAGCTTCCATCAATATTTAGGCCTAAATCATACAACGTATGCAGTATTGCAGAGATTATAAACAAAGTTCTTACCAATATATATTATGAAAACAATTTTTTCCTTCGCAGAGTGCCAGTGGAAAGAGTCTTTGACTGCCGTATCAACCGTTTGTAACCAATGTCATGGACTTCAAGTGCCAGAAGGATGCCATTTGGGTGACCTGAAAATCTTACACATCTGAGGAGCATGCCAAACTATAGATTCCAGCCGTATTTCTTGCAGAAATCCCTGCGTGGTTAGGATTTTTAGGGTCATTACACATCGCAGAGCGATCCGCGTTACTCTATATAAAGCAAATCATTTTTATTTTATTGCATAAGTCATGGAAGGCGCCCATTCCGACATTGCGATGTATAGGGAATCGGACGACGCGGCCATTATATCCTTCTTTGAGGAAAGCCCAGTCTCAGGCGAAGTTGTTGCAGATGAAGTTGCAGCTTTCCTCCAAAGGCACTCCGATGGGAGTCTTCCGTGCGGAGCAGGAGATTGCGTAAGCACAAACAGGCCCATTGTTGTAGTCACATCGGGAGGCACGACTGTGCCATTGGAGCGCCGCTGTGTCCGGTTCATAGACAACTTCAGCGCTGGTACACGGGGGGCCCTCTCCACGGAGCAATTCCTCGAGGTGAGGCACAGTCTTACCAGCCTTCCATGGCCGCATGGAGGCGACCCCTCAGCAGCCCCCTAACCATCCGATTATCCTTACAAACAACATAAATAATACACTGACTAGCACTCGTCTGTGTGCCGTAAAGACGCAAAATAGTCTCCACCGTCGAATCCCCACCGTCATCCCCTGCCTCAATGTCTGACCCACAACACCCAACCCCGCCCCCGACCTGCTACAGGCTGGCTATGCTGTCATCTTCCTCACGCGAACGGGCTCCCAGCAGCCCTTCTCGCACTTGCTGCCATCCGCCGACCCCCCCGAGCTAGTCAGCCGCATCGCTTGCCTGGCCCACCAGCCAGCAGCACCAGACCCGCCTTCGCTAGCAGCCAGCCCAACCCCTCAGTCAGTAATGCCCAGCTGCCTAGGTGCGCCTCAGAGCAACAACTGCCAGACGCTATCTACAGCTCCAGTAGCAGCACTTGCAGGCAGCAGTAGCACGGACGCCGGTTTGGTGCGGATTCGTCCCGAGCACGCGGCGGCAGTAGCACAGGTCCTTCGGGCGCAGGAGACCAGTACCGAAGCTGGGACGCTACTGACGATCAAGTATGAAACGATCTTTCAATACTTAACGGTGCGAGTGCTACGGGGACGTCCTACGGTGGACCCGCCAAACGGGTCTACAAATGGACTGTTTTATCGCCGGCTGGTTGACCAGCGCTGTGCTTGCTTGCCATTCAAACAGTACCTGAGTCCTACCCCTTATTTCTTCTCCGACCTGCCTCTGTATGTATGTCTCTGTATGCCTGCCTTTCCGCTGTGCAGTACCTGCGGATTATCGCGGACCTGCTGCGGCCACTAGGCGCCCGGGCGATGCTGTATTTGGCAGCCGCAGTCAGCGACTTTTTCGTTCCCTGGAGCAAGCTGGTGGGTCGAGCTGGTGCGACATCCCCGCACAGGGCGCCAGGGCGCATGATGTAATATGCTAAACGACGTGAGCCACGCTCAGTGGCTTGTGGGGCCTCCCTTCCCTCCTTTGGTATCTGCTTCATTCGCCAGTGGTTCGTCTTCCTCCCCTCGCTCCCCCGGAGTAGCCCCTCTCGCTCCTCCTCCTCCTCCTCCTCCTCCTCCTCCGGGGTGTGTAACAACTCGCGACCCAATCCAGGCCGCCGGGTTGCCCTTGGTAACCTGTGCTGTGCCCCTGGAGGATGCTACTGCCGCTACTGCCGCTGCCTCGCGTCTGGCACGTTTCCTTCGGTGTAAAACTTGCTGCAGCTGCTGCTACTACCCCTGCCACTACCCGGGCTGAAAAAGCTGCGTATCCTGATGCTTCCGGCCTGCGTCTACTGCGTCTGCTACTTCCCTTGTTTGATTGTACGGCTTCTTATGTACTGCGGCTGCTGCGGCTGCTGCTGCTGCAGGTGGAACACAAAATTCAGAGTTCCGATGGTCCCCTGGTGTTGCATCTCCAAAAGGTAGCCGTGCAGTACGGCGCGGCAGTCCAGATCCCTTAAGCGAGTCGACAAACGCGACTCATTTTGGCTTGAGCATTTGTTTTTGCAAACGTGCAGCGCTCTCTTTCTCTCTTTTAAAAATGGTATACTGCCGTTCGTTCGTTTCTACACACTTCTAGCCCTTCATATGTTCGGATATGGTAGTTAGACGTCTCGTTCCGTCGTGTGCCGTGTCGTGCCAGGTGGTGGTTTTCCCATGTGTTTCCGTACGGTGTGGATGCAGGTGCCCAAGATGCTGGGTGCGTTGGTAAGTGAGTGGGCTCCGGGTGCCTTCGTGGTCAGCTTCAAGCTGGAAACCGACCAGCGAATTCTCGTGGACAAGGTGAGCTGCTGAAGAAGAAGAAGAAGAAGAAGCTTGGGATTCTTTCTATCCAGGGTGGTGCATGCGTTAGCTAGGAAAAGGAGGGCGAGAGTGCGCGTGCGCGGCAAGAGGAGAGAGGAGAAGGAAGGAAGGAAGGAAAGGCCTTGTGGGTACGTTTCGGGTTTTTTTATCCCGCCTTCATCGCGCTGGTGTCGTATTGTGATGTGTCGTACTGTCGTACTGCACTAGCATCGATGGCGCTTGAGCACCGCAGCCCACTGCAACGACACGCCGCAACCTCCCCCAACTGCCCACTGCTGTTCCACCCACCGAAGGCCAACACTGCGTTACAGCGCTACGGTGTGCATCTGGTGGTGGCCAACCTGCTGCACAACCGCAAGGATATAGTCACGCTAGTGGAGCCAGCGGTGCAGGGCGCTGCTGCGCGGCATGGAGGCGCTGACGGCACCGGTTGTGGCGGAGGCAGCAGCGGCAGCGGCAGCGGCAGTGCCGTACACGGGCATACCGTGGCTGAGGATGGGAAGGGGGACCGGGGCGGCGGCGGCGCCGCCGCCGCCGATGGCGTGTATGTGACGGAGATACGGCGCCCGGCTGAGGAACCAAACATTGAGAGATTGCTGGTGGCGGAGGTAGCGGCACAGCATCGGGCCTTCCGCGCCGCCGCCGCCGCCGCCGCCGCCGCAGCAGCAGCAGCAGGCGAATAGCTGCAGCCGCCGCACGGGCAGGCACTGCTCAGGCGGGTGGAAAAACAGCCACGTGACAGCTTCTTGCCAGATGGTTTCTTGACCGTCCACAGTGATGATGATGATGATGATGGCCGATGATGCTGATGACGATGATGCTGATGCTGATGCTGATGATGGCCGATGCTGATGCTGATGCTGATGCTGATGGTGACGATGCTGATGATCGAAGCAGCGCATGTAACGGGGGATCCGGGGGTTCCGGGAGATGCGCAATGGAATTTGAATCAGGCCGAGTGCATGACAGCACTACTTGCTGTACATGTGTAGGTTCGCTTCGTAGAAGTTATAAACGTTTTACTGAAAAGAAACCTGCTGGCGGAAGTGTTCGTGCATCGCCACGGATCTGCGCGTCCATGTGCTCAAGATATACCCTTTTTGATGGCCTCATACGTGGTGGTCCCTTCTTTCCCAGGCGCACGAACTTGGCCCGTTCCTACCACAAGCAAGCCAACATCCCGCGAAAACGAAGAAGGCGCCGCGAAAACCTCCTCCCCATGCACCTACGTAGTGAAGAGGCGCTGGTTGCTAGGGGTTGAAACCTTCAGGGCATTTGCATCATTATTGCAGCCGCAAAGCTGCATGGATAAGGATATTCGTTCGCAAACCAGTCGTTGCTTTGCATGGAGAAAGCTAGGCGAAAAGCCACTTCAAACAAGCAGGCTTATGGATTTATGCGAGGCAGGCTTGCGGAAGCCTTGGGAGCCTGAAGGTCAAACTGTAACTTCTTTCTGTGGCCCAAACTGCCACTGCACTGTTCAGTTTTGGCCAAAATAGCGAGATGCGTGTGCCACAGGAACGTTATAACCCACGAAACTGGCATACCCTGGCTTTGAAGTCTTAACGCCGTAACCAAGTTGGTTGAGATTTTCACGTACTAATCAGGTTCTCAGGTTTGGCAGCCCAAGAGACGTATGCAAAATCAAGCACCTTCGGCCGTATCCATAAAGAAGTATGGAACATGTCTGACGAGCCATACCCGATGCAAAGCTAAGCGATAGAGGGTATGCTGAGTTTCTGGCAGAACTAGAACCATCCATCTACCTGTGGACCTCAGCTGATGAGGGTATGCAAGTCTACCTTAGGTTACAATTCTGATACGTACTGTACTGCTGTTTTGTTCCAACGCGTTTCGGCCACCTTCACGATAACCGCTTAAGCTAAATATTAATACTTATTGTTACATCAGGGTGCCGCTAAACAGGATATTGACAGCGTTTCCTGGTTGTGCGTTAGGGAAGATGCTTGGGCAATTAGCCCAGCAGGGACGTCAGGCAACTGCCTGGGCGCCTGTTCCAAACGCCCCCGTAATTTATTTACCCAGACGTCGTGGTCGTGCTGTGGCTTTGACACCGCAAGCTCTCAGTGCACCCGGCACAGGCCCGAATGCGCCGGCTACAACTGGCAGCAATGGAATTTTCCGTAGCACTCGAGCACGTGTTGTTGTGGATGCTTTGACCACGAATGCCGTAAACGTGGAGCAGCATCTACTTACCCTTTCACGCTTTTTGACGCCTGGTGGTGAGGAGCAGCTTGAACTCCTACCTGGGGCGCTTGCGGCAACGGAGGCTATTCGTGAGACGGTCGCGACGGCGGTGAACACCAAGATGCCGGGAGTTAAGAACTTACAGACGAATGTGGTTAACTCTGGGGCGCTGGCACCGCTCACGGCACTGGCTCGGCGGGGCTACCCTGTAGCATTTGAGGCTTTGCAAATTTTATCATATCGCAACACGCATGTTTGCCAGCAGCTGGTGGAGAAAGGTGTCGGTGAGTGTGTGTCCGTGGGCACTGCTTGACATGCACGTTTTGGAACATCTCGAGCTGGCAGCGTTGGAACCCCGAACAGCATAAGGACGCGCTTACATATGGAAAAGCTCGTCTCTTCTATCTTTGCGGTCGCGGTTCGTATTTGGTTCGTAATTCCGTCCGTTGAAGCCGTCTCTCCAGGATTTCGGACCCTTGCTGTATAGATGTCAACGATATAGCTTGCTGCTTTAGCATTTTATTGCAAGGGCGGGCTCCCGAAATTCACTGCGTGTCCGTCTCCATCCTGCGTCAGCTTGACATAACCGTTGCCGCTCTCTGCGAAATGCCACTACGCAGTTGACCTTATCTCCAACACGTTGAGCGACAGCAGGTGAGCTTTGAGAGGTTGGCCTTCCGACGACGCGTCGAAAGTCAGTTCCCGCACTCTATCCGTCTCTTCCCCAAGCCTATCCGGCGCCTTGTATGTCACCTCTTCCGCCTGCCTCTCTTTAACACCCCTGCAAACTGTTTCCTATGCTTTGCATTTACCCCCCGTCCTCGCCCATCTCGCCCTGCTTTCCCTCACTCCCCCACTCCAACCCCCAGTGTCGATCTCCAATGCGCCATGTGTTTCCTGCTCACCGCGTTCGCGGCCTTCGCGGACTCCTCCCATGCGCCCATGATGCGCTCGGGCCTGGTTCCCAAGCTCGTCATGCTGTGCCGTACACAGGTACGGGGTGCGCCATAGCCCGTGACTGGCCACCCAATGCGACAATACTCCCGTCTCTATGTATTTATGTGCGTGTGTGTGTTTTGGACTTCCCTTCCTCCCCCCTCCCTCTCTCCCTACCCCCCTCCCTGTGGGGAGTTGACCTTTTTTTCGTGTTATGTGATTTCCTCCCCCCCCTCGCTTCCCCGCGCCTGGTGGCGGGCAGGTGGCTGACGTGGCGGTGGAGACAGGCGCCCGAGTGGCCACCCTGCAGACCCGGGCTGCTGCCGTACTGCGAAACCTGGCTCACAACCAGCGCAACCATGCGGTGCTCATCCAAGCTGGGGCGGTGGACCCGCTCGTCAATATCATGAGGAGCAGCGCGGTAGGTCTATGTATGTATGTATGTAGGCGAGGGAGGGATTACAGGGACAATATGCAGGAGATGTGGTGCCTGGGGGGGGGAGGGAGGGAGGGAGGGAGGGAGGGAGGGAGGCAGAAGTGGGACAAGGGGGGGAATGCAAATGCAAAATAAACAGCCGACGGAGAGAAGTGGGTTTTCTGTTGGAGGAAGTACTGGGGGGCAGCCGGGGGGGAAGCAGCCGCTGGTGTGTGCGGGTGTGTTGTGTTATCTGAGGGGGCCGGTGGCGGAAAAGGAGGGAGGTTAGGTAGACGCAGATTGCAGTGTAGGACGGGGGAAAGGTAGGTAGGCAGTGAGGTAGGTATACAGGTAGTTGGTTAGGTAGGCAGGTAGTTAGGTAGGTAGGGGCAGCGGGTTGGTTGTTAGCCGTGTGAGTGAGGTCCCCACCTCCCCCGGGGGCGGCTGACTGCGAGGAGCCTGTAACTGGGGGGAGAGAGGTGACGGAGGTGTGGTCTTATTGAGTTGGGGAGCGGGAAAGGAGCTCCAGGGGAGGGAGGGAGCGGGGGAGCGCTTGTGTGTGTATGCGTGTGCGTGGCGATGGTGGTGGTGGTGGGTGGTGATTATGGTGCTGCTGATTTGCATGTTGGGTTTGGGAGCCTCGGGGGATATCGACATCCATATCACCACCACCGCCACCACCACCACAGGGCTTAGGAGCAGCCACGCTAGGGGGTATGAGTTGGAGAGAAGAAGATCTTCCGTAGTGTGTGTGTATATGTGTGTGTGGGGGGGGGCGAGAAATGTGTATTCAAGTGGTGGCGAAGTATGGGGGGCGGGGGCTTATTTGTGGCGGGTGATGAGACACGGGGTGTGCTAGAGGTGCAATCTATTTGCTTCCATTCAGCAACCCGGGGGGGGGGTTAACCCCATGCAAAAGGAGGTAAGGAATGAACTGGCCGTGTCGAAGGTTTGAAACTGCCCAGGGAGTGAGTCCTAAGCAGCGGGGGGTGGGTGGGGAGGGAGAGAGAAAAAGGTGGGAAGATGCTCCTAGAGGGGCCAAACGGGTGAGAGGAGAGTCTACATGACGGAGAAAAGGGGGGGGGGTAAGTGGGTGGGTGATAAGACGGAGGCGTTGAAGGAGGACACATACCCCACCACCACCACCACTTCAATCTTTTGAGTTTCCGACCATAGATACAAAACAACATTAAACCCAACCTCTCTACCTAACCCTCCCCTCTCCCCCCGCCCAGACACATGAAATAGACCTGTTAGGGAAAAAACCCACAGCCACCTCCTTACCATCCCCAGCCACACAGCCACACATACACACATACACACACGCACACGTCTTCCCGTGTGTTCTGGGCTCTCTTTGCAACTTTGCTGCTCTCTGTGCAGGACTCGGCATCTCGCATTAATGCGGCTGTAGCAGTGGCCTGCCTTGTGGGCCACGAGGAGGGCAACCCGCGGCTACAGCTCGACGAGGACCTTGTGGGGGAGATGCTGGAGGTGCTGGACTCGGCGTGTCAGGGTGCCATGAAACACGGAGTCTTCTGGACGGTGTGGAAGTTGTGCCAGGGACTGGCGTCTCTGAGCGTCAACGATAAGAACAAGGAAATGATAACGGCCAAGGTGGGTGGGGGTTGGTCAAAAGTTGGTTAAAACGGTTAAAACGGTTGGACTTGAAACGGTTGAGAGCACCGGGCTTATGTTGTGGCTGGTGCTGGTGCGGCTGGTGCTCTTGTTACTGTTGTTGTTCTGTTTTTTTCGGGGGGGCCTTTTAGGCCTTTACTGCCCTCTGGCGTTGCTGTTGTTGCTGTTGTTGCTGTTGTTGTTGTTGTTGTTGTTGTGAGGATAAATGAGCAGTGGACTGTTGCTGTGCCGGCGTGTACCTGTTCCGCGCATGTGGTATCAGTGTTGTCAGTGATTTCCCCTCCGCGTCCGCTCCCCGGGCTCCACTGCTGCTGGTTGGTTGTCTGCGCCTGGTGGCGGTGGCGGCGGCGGCATGTCCCCCTGCTTGCGGTCCCCAGGGCGGTGTGGAGATCCTGGCCGAGGTGGTGATGGGTCGCCACCACAACCAGGAGACCGCGCACCGCTTCGCGCTGTCGGCTCTGTGGAACCTGGCCTTCAACGAGCGGAGCAAGGCGGTCATCATCGAGACACCCGGGCTCGTGGACTCCATCAGGAACATTCTAGCATCCTCGGAGTCGCCCAAGACGCGGGAGGTAAGGTATTACTCTTATTATAAAATTTCTTAATATATATTTATTTAATATGTTAATTTATATAATAAATAATTATATTATATTATAATATTTAAATATGTTTTTAAATATATACTAGATAGATTTTTTCCCAGCTATTTTGTCCTCCCCCTTCGTTTTGTTTGCTGTGTATCTGAGGTCTTCCAGGTTTTCCTTCCTTTGTTTCAGAAGAAGAGGTCGCTGTGGGGGTAGATGTGAAGGCGAAAAGGTGGAACGCTGCGGCCGCCGGATTTGAAAAGAAATACATTTCCTTCAGACGATACGTTTGCTCGTGTGTTGAGTATGGTTATTTATAATGCCTGAACGCTTGGGCATTTGGATTTGGGTGTTTCGTCAAATCATCGCTAAGAAGGATGGGATCCAAACTGGATGGATCTGCAGGTGGCCAAGGGGGCGCTATGGACGCTGGGGCTGGAGCAGGACGTGAAGAGCCTGCAGGAGGGCGGAGGGCGGCTGGTGGCGGGTGACGGAGGCGAGACGGAGGCGCACACACAGCACGTGATGTTGTCGTACGAGTGGGGCTGCCAGCAGTCCGTCATGCTGATCAAGAGCGAGCTGCAGAAGGCGGGGTATATGACCTGGATGGATATAGACAAGATGAGCGGTGAGTGCGGTTGGAATCCAGATCCGGCTCAGGGGGAGGGAGGAGGGAACTTGAAGCCAAAGAAAGACTAGACGGAGATGTAGCAAAAGGAGAGTTCCATTCAAAGATTATACATTTATTGCTTTTTTTTCCTGTTTTTCATTGCCTGGAATGTTATTGCTCATTGCCTCGTATTCAGCAATTTCCAATTTTGTCAATTTTGGCTGTTTTAAGTGCGCTTTGCTGAACTTGTTTTTGGGGCGAAAAGTGTCATGTCACTTATTCTTCCTCCCTCGCTTCACCGTCCTCCCCCACATCCTTCTCCCCCCACCGTCCTCCTCTCCTTCTGCGGCTGCTGTCCGCAACGGCTTCTCCACCCCCACCCCCCTCTCCCCCTGGCAGCAGCTTCACTCGTGTGTGGTTTGTCTTTCCCCCCTCTCCCCCCCTTACTTCTGTGGTGTTCTCAGGTAGCACCCTGGAGGCGATGGCGAAGGCTGTGGAGGACTCAGCGGCGGTGCTGGTGTGCGTCAGCAAGCGCTACAAGGAGAGCCAGGCCTGCCGTACAGAGGCAGAGTACGCTTTCCAGTGAGTGCTGTCTTGGTTGGTTGGTTGGTTGGTTGGTTGGTTGGTTGGTTGGTTGGTTGGTTGGGGATGGAATTCACACATGCATACGCGCTGCTGCACGCGTACCTCCCGAGCGGTGACCCATTTATCACTTTTGGCATTTTCCACGTGCCCCTCGCCTCCACCCCTCCCCCTTCCGTCTTACCCCCCTCCCCCTTCCCCCTTCCCCCTTCCCTCGCCCTTCTAGGCAGCGGAAGAAGATTGTCCCGGTGTTGATGGAAGCAGACTATAAACCCACGGGCTGGCTGGGAGCGCTTATGGGTACGCGACTGTACTTCAACATGTCGGATGTACGGCAGATCCCGTCCAAGATGGGGTCGCTCATCAAGGAACTCGGCGACGCG